GCCGAAATCTCTGAGGTCTAGGTAGGAGGGACTTGATGTGTGTCTCTTAGTCCTGGAAATCCCATGAGCAAAGACGAAGCCGGAACAGGAATCGAATTAGCATATGAAAGTTGCAGGGATGGTTACGTTAGGTTATGTTTGGTTGGGTTATATTAAGTTAGGGATAGGTTAAGTTGGGTTAGGGGTATGTTAAGTTAGGTTAGGTAATGTTAGGGGTAGGTTGGGTTATGTTAGGTTAGGGGAAAGTTAAGTTAGGTTAAGTTAGGTTAGGTTGGGTTAGGGATAGGTTAAATTACATTAGATTAGGTTGGGTTTAGGTAGATTAAATTACCTAGGTTAGATTATGGTAGATTAGATTAAGTTAGGTTAAAGTAGGTCAGGATAGGCTCTAGGTCCAGGCCAGGTATGCTCAGGTATGTACACTGTTTACCTTAGTGAATAATTAACATAACTATAAACCTAGTTATTATTATATGTTAGTCAGGCTATAATGTATATTGTATCCTGAAATATTATGAAATTTTTAATATCTGGTAAATGTTTGCAAAAAAATAATAAATAATGAATAATATAAAAGCTCAGTGTACAGTTGTTTTCTATTAGTAATATGCACATTTATTAAACTGTATAATGTAAATATTCACATTCATTAATTACAACAATGTTGAATATATATATATATATATATGTTGTTTTCTTCATAAGTAAACTCATAAATTTCATAAATATATCCTCACTCGAGCGTGGTGGAGGAGGAGGAGGAGGAGAGGAAGAAGAAGAGGAATAGGATAAGTACGAGGAAGAAGACAAGAAGGAGGAGGAGGAAGAGAAGAAGGAGGTGGAGGAAGAGAAGAAGGAGGAAGAGGAGGAGGAGGAAGAGAAGAAGGAGGAGGAGGAGGAGGAGAAGAATGAGGTGGAGGAGGAGGAGGAAGAGAAGAAGGAGGAGGAGGAGGAGGAGAAGAAGGAGGAGGAGGAAGAGAAGAAGGAGGAAGAGGAGGAGGAGGAAGAGAAGAAGGAGGAGGAAGAGGAGGAGGAGGAGGAGGAGGAGGAGGAGGAGGAACATAACGTAAGCCAGACAGACAGACAGACAGACAGACAGACAGGTGGTGGGACGCAAGGAAACAAGCTCTCACCTCACCTAACCTATCCTAACCTCAACTAACCTATCTTAACCTCACCTAACCTATCCTAACCACATTATATTGACACACACTTTGGTTACACTTTATAGAGAAACATTAACCACTAGGTAAGGTCATTACCGTGCGTCTGAGAGAGCTTTAACCTTAATTGAATAAAGTTGAAGATAATAATGGTCGTAATATTTTATAATTGAAGTTTGTATTAATTTTAAGTCAGTGTTTGTGTGTTGTATATCTTCACTATTGTTATTATCATCATCATTATCATTACTTCTACCACTACCACAATCCCTGCTACCACCATCACTACCACCACTACCATAATCCCTGCTACCACCATCACTACCACCACTACCACAATCCCTGCTCCCACCATCACTACCACCACTACCATAATCCCTGCTACCACCATCACTACCACCACTACCACAATCCCTGCTACCACCATCACTACCACCACTACCACAATCCCTGCTACCACCATCACTACCACCACTACCACAATCCCTGCTACCACCATCACTACCACCACTTATATTATTACCACTACTACTACTACCACCCGTATCACTAACACCCTCTACCACCATCACCAGTCTCAGCATTCCTACCACTACTACCACTATCCCTACAACCATCATCATTACCACCACTACCACAATCCCTACTACCACTATCCCTACACCTGTGCTTGATTTGTTTACCTGCAACACCTGGTTAACGAGAGCTGAATCAAGATCATCATTCGTGGTTAAAGTGAGGCGGTTAGCTGTTGTTTATATGGTCTTATATAACGTCTACTTCATTATAAATTATAGAGCTAGAGAAACATTATACTGTTATCATTCTGTGCGTTTATCTCTATAACACCCCAACTCATTATAGAATAGTAGTATCATCATCTATCATGTTTACTCACATCTCATAAATAATCTTCCATCCATCATCTATAATCTCCCTATAACATCTTGTTCATTATTGGAGAGGACCGTGTTCATCTGTCATCGCTCCTGATACGATAACTCCCTCTTCTGGGTAAGACTAACCTAACCTAAGCTAACCTAATCTAACCTAACCTAACCTAACCTAAGCTAACCTAATCTAACCTAGATTTTCATGTTATGCCTAAATTTGTTCTCATTTTTCTCGGTTTTACACGCTGGAATGTTTGAGTGGCTGCCTGGCTCACTGTCTGGGTCACTGGCTGGGTCACTGGCTGGGTCACTGGCTGGGTCACTGTCTGGGTCACTGGCTGGGTCACTGTCTGGGTCACTGACTGGGTCACTGGCTGGGTCACTGGCTGGGTCACTGGCTGGGTCACTGGCTGGGTCACTGGCTGGGTGACTGTGACTCGTGTTATTTTACGTAAAAAAAAAAATATCCGAGTATTGTTTTTTTCAGTGATTTGTGATAACCATTGTATGACATAGCCAAGCATCCCAGAACGAAGAACGGTGTGCTGTATAAAGTAACAACGCGTTACTGTATAGCCTCTTAAACTGAATTAGAACCTTACTTAATATTTTATGATCGTTGACAAAGTGGAATAAGACCTTACCACCGTGAAATTTGGCTATAAGTTGATGTATCGGTGTATGTGTGTATGTGTGTATGTGTGTATATGCGTATATGCGTATGTGTGTATATGTGTATGTGTGTTAAACAATAAAAATACGAAATCTTACACTTTTACAATATATGTCCCTGATATATTTTTGGATTTGTCATTCACAATTTACAATATCATGTCATTTTTATATTTACACAAGAATTATTTTAAGGTGTATTCTCGTTTAAACGATTGATCACCTGAAGAATCTCCTACCCCAGCTTGTTTCACCTCAATAATCGCCATCCCAGCTTATTCCCCCTCAATAATCTCCATCCCAGCTTATTTCACCTAAAAAATTTCCATCTAAGCTTATTTCCCCCTCAATAATCTCCATCCCAGCTTATTTCCCTTCAATAACCTCCACTCCAGCTTATTTCCCCTAAAGAATTTCCATCTAAGCTTATTTCCCCCTCAATAATCTCCATCCCAGCTTATTTCCCTTCAATAATCTTCACTCCAGCTTATTTCCCCTAAAGAATCTCCATCTTAGCTCATTTCACCTAAAGATCAATCACCCTAAAGTCCCTCTATAACTGTTGTGTTGGTATCTGACGAAGGAATAGGTGACGTGGGTGGTGGATGTCCTCGTTCCTGACACTAATAATGATCTACGTTACTGAAGGAGGCCACCATTTCTCATGTTCAATTTGCCTAAGACGTTCGCTACCAACAGAGCCGCAAGACAATTCTACTCAATGTCTCTATATAATTTGATTTACAACGTCGCCAACACTAAGAATATACAAGTAATTTTAAGTAATTTAAGTAATTATATTGTTTGTACTTTAACACTGTATAAATAACTTGAATCTCAACGTCGCCAACAGTAACAACAGATAAGTAATTTAAGTAATGTAAGTAGCTATTTGTACCTAAGTAAATAACTGGATTAATATTGCAGCAGTAACCAGGTTTGTTCTCAATTTGGAAGCGAGTCATTGTTACTTACCGCACTACATGAACTGAATATATAATACTGAACTATTGTAGTAATTTAAGTAAGTCCTCCAGCTTACTTAACAACAACGAATAAGTCTACTTTCGTAACTTATAACGTGGTATTTTTTTTTTAATCACTAATGAAAAAAAATATTGTAGTGTTGTGTTGTGTGGGTACGTGGTGCTGTAGTTCGTCACGACCCCTCACAGCACTAACAAGCAGGTCAGTTGTCAAATCCTTAACTAGACAACTATTTTACCCAACATAAAGGAGAATAACAACACCTCAATAATCTCCATCCCAGCTTATTTCCCTTCAATAACCTCCACTCCAGCTTATTTCCCCTAAAGAATTTCCATCTAAGCTTATTTCCCCCTCAATAATCTCCATCCCAGCTTATTTCCCTTCAATAATCTTCACTCCAGCTTATTTCCCCTAAAGAATCTCCATCTTAGCTCATTTCACCTAAAGATCAATCACCCTAAAGTCCCTCTATAACTGTTGTGTTGGTATCTGACGAAGGAATAGGTGACGTGGGTGGTGGATGTCCTCGTTCCTGACACTAATAATGATCTACGTTACTGAAGGAGGCCACCATTTCTCATGTTCAATTTGCCTAAGACGTTCGCTACCAACAGAGCCGCAAGACAATTCTACTCAATGTCTCTATATAATTTGATTTACAACGTCGCCAACACTAAGAATATACAAGTAATTTTAAGTAATTTAAGTAATTATATTGTTTGTACTTTAACACTGTATAAATAACTTGAATCTCAACGTCGCCAACAGTAACAACAGATAAGTAATTTAAGTAATGTAAGTAGCTATTTGTACCTAAGTAAATAACTGGATTAATATTGCAGCAGTAACCAGGTTTGTTCTCAATTTGGAAGCGAGTCATTGTTACTTACCGCACTACATGAACTGAATATATAATACTGAACTATTGTAGTAATTTAAGTAAGTCCTCCAGCTTACTTAACAACAACGAATAAGTCTACTTTCGTAACTTATAACGTGGTATTTTTTTTTTAATCACTAATGAAAAAAAATATTGTAGTGTTGTGTTGTGTGGGTACGTGGTGCTGTAGTTCGTCACGACCCCTCACAGCACTAACAAGCAGGTCAGTTGTCAAATCCTTAACTAGACAACTATTTTACCCAACATAAAGGAGAATAACAACAGATGAAAACTTTAACCTGAACTTTTGATAATAATAATTTCTGTTCCTTGGAGAATAATAACATCTGGACCCCAAACGAAAACTTAAATTAACAAGTAAAAAAAGTTTGTTGTACTCACCAAGGTTCACCTATCCACTCGTGTTTACTCTGGCCTTCATTTCGTCACTGGAAAAACATCGTAACTATTAGAGATGGCTTTACAAATATCCACTTCACGATCCACTTCTCTAAAATCATACATTATTTTTACGGGGTTCGTTTCACTGGGTCATTATGCACAATACCACACCACAGTTTAGTTTTCCAGGTCTTATGATATACACCGGGTGATGACAGTGATTGGCTCTTGTTCCACTAATAGTATGGCGCACTGAAGGAGGCGATGAGGAGCCTTGTTGCGGGAGAGGGAGTGAGCGGTGGGAGAGGTGAGGGGTGGGGGGAGAGTTAGCCAAGAATCGCAGAGTGGAAGGTAACGGAACGACTGGCCGGCCGCGCGCCCTGTCACCTCGGGAACTAAGAGCGGGGTAGGAGTGAAGCCCGGCCTGGCCTGCAGCTGCACCACCACCACCACCACCACCACCACAGCACCCACAGCGCCGCCTCAGTGCTGCACCAGCCCCAACCGTGCGCACACACAGAGAGAGATATATACACACACACACACACACACAGCACCACACCGATCCTCACCTTACCCTTGCATGTCTGCCTTAACTTTCTTTTTAACCTGAGAAAAAATAAAAAAAATAAAACCCAACATGACAGCTTCAGTATTTAACTCCCTCCTTCGGCCATACATTACCTATTTTGTATAATTTTATGAAAACGAAAAAGAAATTGGTACTTGACCAACTAACTCACCCAGTCCCCACCAACAAAAAACTAAATAAATACCTAACTTATTCTGCGACATCCTCATGAATGTTTAAGAGCGATACAAAACTTATTAACCAAGTTTGTGGAAAAGTGACCGAAAAAATATATATATTCCCTTCCACAAAAATCGAAATGTAAATAAAAAATATCCCTTAACTTCCACGTGAATATTGAAGACAATTCCTAATCTTTTAATCATAGCTGCCAGATAACTTTTGGCACCTGACTTGACAAAGAAAAAGGTAGTGAAGATATAGAAGAATATACAGTAACCAAATACCGTTTTTTATGACATTATTGAATAAGTTTAAATGCCTAACACAAACAAATCATGAAAGAGAAGGTAAATATCATTAAAAACTACTACATATGATTCAGGTGGACAGTATAATAGTTTAATTAATATCTACCTATATCCCAGGTATGTAATTACAATCTAATAAACCCATCACGCAAGCATATTAACAGTAGTGGTTTAACATACATATAACCTAAAAAATTATTAAACCCAGCCACATATACATATTATAATAGTACTGGTTTATACAATGGTGATGTTAATATGACTAAATATGATTAAGATAACCCAAGGTACCAATGTTAACAGCCAGAGAAATAACACGAGAACACGAATCAAATTTATGACGATTTAAAATGAAAATGTTGTCGTTGAGTCGGTACCATTATTGGAATTCGTTCGGCTAGTATGATAGGCCTTTCCTTAATACGTTTTAGTTCCGTCCCTAAAGAGGGGGGAGGGGTTGGAGGGGTTGGAGGAGGGAGGGGGTGAGAGGGAGGGAGCAAAAGGGAGGAAGGAGATGCGATAGGGAAAGAAGGAAAGGAGGGAGGGGGGTGAGAGGAAGGGAGCAAAGGGAGGGAAGAAGATGCGATAGGGAGGAAGAAAGGAGGAGGATATGGAGAGAGGAGGGAGGAGGAGGAGGAAGGGGGATAGGAAAATACTCTCCTCCTCCTCCTTCCCTTCCCCCCCTCCCTACCTAAAGCCTCGGCTATTGGGCCATTTAATAGATGACGTTGGTGGTGGTCGAGGATGATATACGCGCCACCAGCCAGCGAACTGGACCCTTCTTGCCGGAGTTGGGTGGGCTGGGTGGGTTAGGTGGGTGGTGGTGGTGTGGTGGTGGGTTGGGTGGTGGTGGTGGTGGTAGTGGTGTTGGGTGGGTGGTGGTGTTGAGGTGGGCTGGGTGGGTGGTGGGTGTTGAGGTGGGCTGGGTGGGTGGTGGTGTTGAGGTGGGTTGGGTGGGTGGTGGTGTTGAGGTGGGCTGGGTGGGTGGTGGTGTTGAGGTGGGCTGGGTGGGTGGTGGTGTTGAGGTGGGCTGGGTGGGTGGTCAGGAGTGTGAGGTCCAATCACACTTTTACTAAACTCAACGTGAGAGTGTGTGTGTGTGTGTGTGTGTGTGTGTGTGTGTGTGTGTGTGTGTGTGTGTGTGTGTGTGTGTGCGTGGGTGGGTGGGTGTGTGGGTGGGTGTGTGTGTGTGTGTGTGTGGGTGGGTGTGGGTGTGTGTGTGTGTGTGTGTGTGTGTGTGTGTGTGTGTGTGTGTGTACTGAACACTAGTTGCTTGTCACTGCACTATAACATTACCTTGAATCTGTCCAGGTTACGTTAGGTTACGTTAGGTTAGTACGGTAACGGTATATGTGAAAGGGGTATTAGTGGACGTGCTGGTAATCAAGGACCAATCAGCGTAACTCAAGGTAATCAAGGACCAATCAATGTACGTCTTGGTAAACATGGACCAATCAGCGTACATCATGCCAGCGGACGCGAGGATTCTACTAAATCTCAGCCAAGGTAGAGCGTATCTGGCCCAAGTGTTTATACAGGTCATCCTCGAACTGGTGCTCCTCTTACCGGGCCAACTGGCACTCCAACCAAAGAGGGAGACAGGCATCATCCTCACCTGACACTTCATATGAGGAAAAAGACACTTTCTAATGACTTAAACGATACTTTACTTTGTTATTATTATTATTATTATTATCATTATTATTATTATTATTATTAAAAACCAACATCCTGATATATTTTCTGCAGGTATTAATAAAGAGCATTGTTGACTGAGAGAGCCGCAGCAGCCATAATGACACACTCTGGCCTAGTTTCAGAAATATACCAACTTGCTCGCAACAAAACTTTTCTCATCCGTACCGACAGTCCAGAGGCAAGACCCCCAACCCATCCCCTCCTTAATTTCTTTCCCTGTAACCCGAGACGAGAGAGAGAGAGAGAGAGAGAGAGAGAGAGAGAGAGAGTGAGAGAGAGAGAGAGAGTGAGAGAGAAGGTGTACGTTAGACTCTCAACCTTAATATTAGTATCATAATAGACCCTCAGCTGTGTGTCGTACATGGAAGCAGAATTATCGTTTTTGTGTCGTAAGATATAATGAGAAATATCGTAAGATCTTATAGTACTTGTATCTTAAATCCCCAATTATGACTTACGTAAAAAAAAAAAGACCTTATGTACGAATATTTTTGAGAATTAGGACCGTAAACATTCGTAAGATATCCCTTGAAAGGTGAGTCTGTTGTATGTATTTATCACAGGGTGCGTTTGTTGGCGTCAAGTAAACCTACATCAGGAACACGACACTCCACCTCCTCCAAGGGACAGGCTCCTCTAGCATGCATTAGTGGTACCATTTATAACAGCCCCACGCGAGCATCCTGGCACCACCGCTCTAGCTTAGGAAATTGTGCTTCAGTTGTTGTATCTCATAATATGTGTTGGGTGTATTATTCTGCCTGGGACTGATGGTATGTTTGTATGTTTTGTCTTTATACAGATGTTTGTATTACCTTATAAGCAAATGGGTCTGTAGTTAAGGTCATATATGCATACGTATATTCCATACATACAATTAACACCTCTTCATGTCAGCCACAAAACTCCTATAATACAACTAAATCTTCACAACTCTTCAAGCTGCCTCCACGGAAGAGTCTCGATCCCTGGGACCACAAGATTGCCTACCCAGAGCAATAACCACTGCACCATCGTACCCAAAGTGACTGATAAATCATCACCTAACAGTAGAGAGAGAAGAAGCCAACTCCTTCACTCACACAGAGACACTCTTGAATGCTCCTTGAGTAGTATTGTCGACTCCGTGCAATGAATCCTTTCCACGACTTCCCACGAGGTGAAATGCAACCACGAACGAGAAACTGAACTAGATGGCTTTAGATTAAGTTACTTCAAGTCCTAGTTCGCTTTTAGGGTAGGGTAGGGGAGGGTATGGTAGGGTAGGTGAAGAAAATCGAGGTTAAAGTCCCGTGATATAACCTTTTCGACGGCTGTGTTCGAGGCTACAAACAGCCCCAGACTTCTCTCCTCTGACAGTCTCTTCATCTTTTCTTAACTTTCCACAACATTGCTCTTCCTTCATCCCGGTGTTCACTGTTCATTACACTTACTCTTTTTCTCCTTTTCTGATCACATGTTAACCCGAATGTCGTCTCTTGGGTCTTCCCTCTGAGCCCCTTCACTGTCTCACCTCTCAGTTGTGGAGGCTGTATCTGATGGTCACTCCTCACATGCCTATCATGTACCTCATTCCAGTCACAATCAGTCACTCCATCTGGGTGTCCTTCACTGCCAAGGTTCTTCACCATAAAACATCGCATCATCATCATTATCATGTTGACGACCTGGATCTTCAGCTTTTAGGGATTCTTGTGTTATATATCACTGTGCCGCTCTTCTCCCCGCCACCACTGTGAGATCTTCCAGACACTCACTGTCTAGTTCTCCATCTTCTTGAGTCAAACTCCTCAACTATTTGAATTCCTCTGTCGGCCTCAAGCCCTGGCCTTCATCTGCAACCCTGGATGAGGGAGTTTCATGGCTACACATGACCATGACCTCTATGATGCTTTAACTCATCCTCAGGTCATGTGACGGTGTGACGGTGCGGCATTACCAGTTGCCCAGTTGCGACAGATACGTAACTTTACAGTTGGGGATGTGAAGGTGGTCGAGTCCAGTGCCAGCTGCATAGCTTTCTGATGGACCGAAACCTTAGTATTCAGTGTGAACTTTAACCGCTAGCTGGCTGTCCACCACCTGCTACAGCTCCCCAGGTCCGCTCCTCACTGCCGTATCATCACACCAAAGTCAGGCATCAGATGCAATATGAAAGTCATCCTTGAAGATGACTTTGCTGACTATTGGTGATGACATATATTTACTTTTGTAGTCAAGGATGCTGATGGACCCAGATCTAAGTCAACTTTAACTCAAAAGTTCTCCGACAGTCAGAAACATGTCCCCACTCTTAGTCCTCACAACGAGATCCTTCTATATGTTTCTTAAACCTTGACCCTCTCTAAACCTTGACCCTCTCTAAACCTTGACCCTCTCTAAACCTTGACCCTCTCTAAACCTTGACCCTCTCTAAACCTTGACCCTCTCTAAACCTTGACCCTCTCTAAACCTTGACCCTCTCTATACCTTGACCCTCTCTAAACCTTGACCCTCTCTAAACCTTGACCCTCTCTAAACCTTGACCCTCTCTAAACCTTGACCCTCTCTAAACCTTGACCCTCTCTAAACCTTGACCCTCTCTAAACCTTGACCCTCTCTAAACCTTGACCCTCTCTAAACCTTGACCCTCTCTAACCTTAACCCTCTCTAAACCTTGACCCTCTCTAAACCTTA